CTCTCTCTCTCTCTCTCTCTCTCTCTCTCTCTCTCTCTCTCTTCTCTCTCTCTCTCTCCCTTTCTCTCTCCCTCTCTCTCTCTCTCACACACACACAAACACACACACCAGGGACTATGCAGCTTCCATTTACAGTGGCTGCATTTGCCATTAAAGAGTAGGAAAGCTGGGGAAGTAGTCTCAACAATTCTACTGTTTTTTACAGTAGCATAACCAACTTAGTTTTTAGCAGAAAGTAATTGGGATATGGGAAGAGGGTAGTTCAATCCTCTGCTTTCTCAGCATGGGTTTCCATTCTCTCTTCATTTTTATTTAATTTTATTCTTATTGTTTGCCCATCACTGTCCCTAATATTAGAACATTATATTAATATTAGAATATTATTACTTCAGCTTGAATTCATAGATATCATTTGAAACAAAGGCACTTTTCTGATTTTTTGAATATACTATGCACTGTAGCTGTATTACAATTTTAACATGAATTTTAATCCCATATTCAGAACCTAACATCCACATGAGGACATTATATTGACATTTTACTTAATTGTACTTAATAATTGTGCATTCATTATACATTGTATAATCATTTCATTCTACAGCAAAATACCTTGAATTCATTCTTTTTCTCAGAATCTGAACAAGTGGTTTACTTTAGCTTACATTCATCACTAATGTGTATTTGAAACATATTTCCTTTGACTAACATTCAAGGGAATTCCCACATTCAGTAATCAATATTCAATTATAGCAGAGAATTGAAATATCTCCAGGAAAAAAGAAATCTTAAATTAACTGGAGACTCAGAGAATTCGCAACTTTGGGAAATTCTGCTCAGCAAGAATGCCACAAAAATGTAGGTCAAATGCTTGGAGTCCAGCTGACTCAGGTCTTGAAGAATTATATTTGCCAAGAGAACCAGCTGGAGAAAGTTAATTAGCATACTCTCCCTGCTATCATTGTGACAACCTTGACCAAATCACAACCCGCTGTGGGCTGCTTGAATTGCATCCTGGCAACTGAGCTGAGTCAGCACATGCTTGTAGATGAACTGCTTCAGATAACAAAGGTGCAGCTTTGTTTTTACTCATGAGTTTCTACAAGCAGGGCTAAGTGCAGTTTGTTGCATGAAAACCCACTTCCTTTCTATAGGGACCAATCTTACCATGAAACATTGAGAAAGCAGTTGATCCAAGCTGCGGACACCAAACCATTTCCTTTTCTCTATTTGTAAATTCTGTCTATCTGTGTAGGAAAGGTAAGTGGGAGAGGGCTGACACTTCAACTTTTGTGCATCAAGAACTACATTTTTCAAGGCTGCCTCCATTTCTGCCAAAGATGTATCCAGAGGGCAGCATTTTTGCCACTTTCCTGCAGGGGTCTGGATAGGGAACAAGAGACTTCAACTCAACCCCAGCAGGAGCAGATGGGTCTGGAGACTTTCCATCTTTAGTTGTGGATGGCCTTGCAGTACTCCAGACCGAACTGGTGTGCAATTTGGGGATCATCCTGGACTTACAGCTCCTGCTCCAAGAGCAGATAGTAGCTGGGGCAACAAGGGCCTTTACACAGTTACATGTTGTGCACCAATTATGCCTGTTTCTGGACCATGAACATGGTCATTCATGCCTTGGTCACCTCCCAAATGGACTACTACAATGTGCTATACATGGGACCGTCCTTGAAAAGTACGCAGAAGCTTCAGCTAGTATCAAATGCAGTGGGTGGGCAGTTAGATGCACTCCTCATTCAGCACACTGACCTTTATTCCACAAGCTGCAGTGGTTGCCAGCTGAAGAATACTTCTGGGCTCAAGTTGCTGGTGGTCCCTTTTCAAGCCCTCTCTTGTCAAGACCATCTTTCCCTGGTTCTCTTCTCTATTGTGGCACCCACCTCTGAAACATCATTTCTTCAGAGATTTAAACTTCTCTGACCTCACTGGCTTTCCGCAAGACTCTGAAGACCTGGTTTTTGTTACCAAGCCTGGGTCCCTGGGTTTGGGATTAAGCCTGTATCCTGGCTGCGTTGTTGTTTTGGTCTTTTATCTTTGTGATCGTCTGTGTTATTGTTGTGCTTTTATCATTTTTTTAATTGTTATTGATTGCCTAGAGTTAGGTTTTTCAGAAAGGCGATCACATAAATTGAAATGAATAAACGTAGAGCTATCATTTTAGAGTATCTCTGGAAAAAAGACGCTTTCTTCTTTATAAGGAATTCAATACAAAAAGAGAAAATCAAAGACAATAGAGAAAGCCAGTTGAGGGGTACCTCATCAGTGGTGCAGTTCAGCGGGATCAGCAAAAGTCACAACTTCTCCAAAACCCTTTCAAGATCATTCAGTTTTTGAGTTTGCTCCAGTTCAATCTACTGCCAGAACATTTTTGGGAAGGGCTTTACTGTAACTCAAGAGTTACAGCAGTGGGATGTGTGTTTGGAGATTTAATTTATTTTTTTAAAAAAGCCAATATCCAAATCAATGCCCATAGTTGCTGGGAGTTAGGAGACATACTGTATATATTTAATGAGTTTAGTGTAAAAACTGGTACAGTGGGATGGCAAGCCAATCACTCGTGCCATCCCAGAAGTTGTGCTTCCTGCTGTGAGAAATGGTTGGCAGCTGGCATGTATTTATGATTGCAGCATCCCAGGTCCCGAGATTGTCATCTGCAACTTTCCTCGGGAGCTTCTGATGAGCAAAGTCAATGGGGCAAGCTGGATTGACACAGTTTCCTTAACTGCAGTGGTTCCCTTAACAACTGTGGCAAAAAAAAGTTGTAGAATTGTGCGTGACTTACTTATGTCAAAGCAAGAATATACTTTGAGATGGGGCAGAGCTGGAAGGTCTCCCTGGCCAAAGAGTTCTCCAAATCGTATTTTGCTCAGCTGATGGCATTTGTTGCTGAAGAACGCAAGCGTTGTACAGTTTATCCACCCCAGCATCAGGTCTTCACTTGAACCCAGCTGTGTGACATCCATGATGTGAAAGTTCTTTGAAGTGCTTCATTAGTCGGAACCTGTGACATCATGCCAAAATCCAACACGTCCATCATGGTGACTGGCAAAATTGTAGCTCTGAAATAAAACTTTAGGAAACATGCCTGAAAGTTCTTTGAAGTGCTTCATTAGTCGGAACCTGTGACATCTTAACTGCCTTGCTTAGCAACAGAAATCTTGGGCTCAGTTGTGGTCATAAGTTGAGGATTATCTCAATTGTGGTCGTAAGTTGAGGATTATACTTAATACTGTACTTATGCTTTCTTGAGATCCGTAACAGAGGCCCTTCGTTCATTTTCCTTTGGCACGACTAGCAGGCATTTGCCTCTTCCTCCCCCTCCTCCCTTTCCACCCAGTGTCTAAATTGCTGAAAGAACCTGCCAGTCTCTTTTCACTGAATCCCACTTCCTGGTTCATTGTCATTCTTGACTATTATTTGCCATGTACAAGCTGACTAAGTTGTTCCCTCCAAGAATTCAAAGATCAGAAAGAACCTATCTAGAGGCCTAAAAGAATAGTTAAAAGAAAATGTTCCTGGACTTAAGCCGAGTATTAAAAGGATACTGAGTGATTAAATAGCAGGATATCTCACTAGAGACTATAATAACCGAAGAATAAACATTGTTGTGGATGCAAAATAAAACTGAGCCCAGCTCTCTCAATGAATGCTAGCAGTTATTCATTGCATTTGAAGTAGATTTATTAAGAATGAAGAAGAAAATGTCTCACTTCTTTCAAACTCCGTTAGGATGAAACAGAAGACTGCAATGAAAACTAGGGAGGGAGAGAGAGAGAGAGAACATGCTTTTCTCTTAAACGTGAAGATATAAGGAACGGTTGCTGGAATTGGGTATGTCTAGTTCAGTGGTTCTCAACCTTTCTAATGCCGTGACCCCATAATACAGTTTCCCATGTTGTGGTGACCCTCAACCACTTATACATCGCCGGGTGCCAGGAGCATGGCCGAGTGGGTGTGGCCACCAAGTGGGTGTGGCCACCAAGTGGGCATGGCAAGAAAGACAGCCCCAGCCACCATTAATTCTGTGCCGCCGCTGCATGTATTTTAATCCATGTTTACCCTGCCTTTAAATGTGGGACCAAAATTTACAGAAAGTTAGTAAATAATAAATAAGAACAGGCTGCTTTCATTTGAACCATAGATTATAATGGGGACCTGGAGGGATTTTCTTTCACTGAAGATGAAAGAAAGTATATGAAAGAGAGGGAATAAAAAGCAAAGCAGAAAGGAATAAGAAGAGTGAGAAATGGCATGGAGGTTATAGGTTTCGTGGATCAAAAATAAATAAAACAATTAAATCAGTTTTAAGAGAATAAATGGCAACAAATGGAAGATTCAAACTAGTTTTAAGGGAATAAAAGGAAATAAATGGAAGTATTAAACCACTTTAAACAATAAATGAAAGAATCAAAGCAGTTTATAAGCAGTTTATGAAGGGGAAGGGATGGAGATGGAGATGGAAGTAAGGAAGAAAGGAAGGAGATGGAGAAGGAAGGAGATTGAAGGGGAAGGAAGGAAGGAGAGAGAGATTGAAGGGGAAGAGATGGAGATGGAAGGAAGGAAGGAAGATTGAAGGGGAAAAGAAGGAGATGGAGAAGGAAGGAGATTGAAGGGGGAAGGAAGGAAGTAAGGAGAGAGATTGAAGGGGAAAGGAAGGAGATGGAGAAGGAAGGAGATTGAAGGGGAAGGAAGGAAGGAGAGAGAGATTGAAGGGGAAGGGATGGAGATGGAGATGGAAGGAAGGAAGAAAGAAAGAAGGAAGATTGAAGGGGAAAGGAAGGAGATGGAGAAGGAAGGACATTGAAGGGGGAAGGAAGGAGAGAGATTGAAGGGAAGAGATGGAGATGGATGGAAGGAAGGAAGATTGAAGGGGAAAGGAAGGAGATGGAGAAGGAAGGAGATTGAAGGGGGAAGGAAGGAAGGAAGGAAGGAAGGAAGGAAGGAAGGAAGGAAGGAAGGAAGGAAGGAAGGAGAGAGAGATTGAAGAGGGGAGGCGCTGCCAAGGATGCACAAGCAGCTCCGCACAATTGCCCGAGGAGGCTCTGGTGGAGAGCCAAGCAGCGGCACATCCGGGGCCTTGGAAGCTGTGAGGAGGATCCGCACGCCTTGGAACCGCCGGCTGCCCTCTCACACCCGCACGGGGACCTGGAGCAAGATGACCTGCCGGTTCTCTGAGGGGTGGCATTTGTTGATGTGGCGGGTGAGGCCTGGCGAGCTGTAAAATGTTGCTGGGCAGTATTTGCAGGGGAAGGCCTGGGCAGCATGGAGAATGCGCAGGTGACGCTCCTGACCGCTCTTACTGGGGAAGGTCTCCCTGCACACTGGGCAGAAGTGGCACTCCCCGGACAAGCTCAGCGGGCTGTGGCCGTCCGGGGCCACCTCTTCCAGATGGGCCTTGGGAAGCGGGCAAGCCTGGGACAAGCCGTCAAGGGGCTTGTGGTGGAGCGGCAGGTGCTTGCGCAGGGCGCTCTGACGTCGGAAGCACTTGGCGCAATGCGGGCAGGTGAATTCCTCGGCTCTGGCAGCCTCCGGTTCTCTGCTGCTGCCACCCCCACTGCTCCTGGGACTCGGCGTATCCTGCTCGCTGCTGCTACTACTGTTGCCGCTGCCGCCACCCCCTCCCTTGGCAGTCTCCTCCGGAACAGGCTTGGCCTTGGTCGGTGCACCGGCAACGTACTACCTCGTCCTCAAAGTGCAACTTGTGGGCTGCCTTGGCCTTTCTGCCCTGAGACCACTTCGGTGCGCCTGGGCTCAGCCCATGGCTGCGCTGAGGGGCAAGAGGCGGGCCAGAAGCGATGGCGGCAGCGGTGACTGCCCAAAGCTTGAGGTCTCCTCCAGGGCCCAAGAGTAATGGTTCTGGAGCCGGGAAGGACTCGGCTGAGACGGGCAAGGCCAGGTGGAGGCTACATTCCTTGCTCACCGCTTGCACTGGACTGTGCAGTGGCGCCGGCGAAGAGGGGCTCTCCGGTGTCCCAAACTGCGGCACCGCGGGCGCAGGCAGAAGCGCCACTTCGGCGGATTCCGAGGCAGAAGCCGCGCTGGGGAAATGAGGGGCGGGAAAAGGTGGAGGAACCAAGAGCTGCACCAGATCTCCTCCTTTCAACCCAGCGGCCGGGTAGCAGGAGCAACGCGTCCAGTAAGAGATGGGCATAGGTCTGAGACTCCTCTTCAGCAAAAAGCACCGGGGCATCCTCGGGCAGCTCCGGAAGGCGTCTGCGGCTGGTGATGCTGCTGCCTCAGTCTCTGAGCGGCAAGCGCGGTTCTAGCATCCAGCTGGTCCTTCTTCGACCACCCCGCCTTCCCTCCGTCAGCCAAGCCAAGCGGGAGAAACAGAAATGGCGGTGGTGGTGGAGGACTCTCTTGCTTTCTGCTGCTTGTTCTCTCTTGCTTTCTGCCACGTGCTCCGAAACTGAAACTTCCTTAGTTTATATAGAAAAAAGCTGCGCATGCGCAAAGAGGAGGGAGGCAGGAACGGCTCTGCATGCCACCTGTGGCACTTTCGAAATCCAATAAGAGGGAGTAGCACAGCTAAGGAAAAGGGGGAAAATGGTGGACTGCGTTGTTTGTCGACCCCCGTGAAATGGTCATTCGACCCCAAATGGGGTCGCGACCCACAGGTTGAGAAGCGCTGGTCTAGTTTAATGAAGAGAAGGATGAGGGGGGACATGATAGCAGTGTTCCAGTATCTCAGGAGCTGCCACAAAGAAGAGAGAGTCAAGCTATTCTCCAAAGCGCCTGAAGGCAGGACAAGAAGCAATGGGTGGAACCTAATCAAGGAGTGAAGCAACCTAGAACTAAGGAGAAACTTCCTGACAGTCAGAACAATTAACCAGTGGAACAACCTGCCTCCAGAAGTGGTGAATGCTCCAACACTGGAAGTTTTTAAGAAGAGACTGGACAGCCATTTGTCCGAAATGGTATAGGATTTCCTGCCTGAGCAGGTGATTAGACTAGATGACCTCCAAGGTCCCTTCCAACTTTATTATTATCATTATTATTATTATTGTTATTGTTGTTGTTGTTGTTGTTGTTATTATTATTATTATTATTATTATTATTATTATTATTATTATACAACTTATTTTAATAACAATAGTCCAGGTGAGAAAGAGACACTTTCCCCCCTCATTTCTCTTTCTTACCCCTGGGTGTAGTGCTCAAATAGGTTCATCAAAGCAGAAATGATACAATCTCCAATATTAATTAAAAAAAGAACAAGAGAAAAGCAGCAGTGAAGATGCAGATAAGATTGCCCTTCCTTTTGCCATGGACATTTTCATTTAGAAGCATATATATATATTTGTACCTGGAGGAACGTTGTCCATGGGGTCGCGATGGGTCAGACACGACTTCGCAATTAACAACAACAACAACATATATATTTGTAGTGGCCAAAGTCCCTCTTATACCTAATTTCAATAATCCTTTTACCAAACGTCACAAAGTCTTCCTATGTAAGTCTTCCCCTATTCAAATTGCCACTCATAGCCTGAGATAAAAAAAAAAAAAAATCTTGCTTAGCTTGCCTAGGCATGGCAAAGGACAAGGTAAGAATTGATCTAAGGATATAGATGGGATTGCCCAAACTTCCTCACACGGTTCCTTAGCTCATTTTTTTGTTTATTTCAACAATGTGCTTAGAATTTACACATGCATGAATGACAGCTCCCCATTACTACATTTTGAATAGTTGAGAGATAGAAATTCTTTTGTATCTATTTTAGCCGTGGTGGCACAGTGGTTAGAATGCAATATTGCAGGCTAACTCAGCTTTCCACTGCCAGGAGTTTGAATCTCACCGGCTCACTGCTGAAGCGGTATATAAATCTAAGTGCTATTGCTATTAAATTATAAATAAATTAGAAGAAATATTGTTATAATACTAAGGGATGCATTAGGAAGCACACTGTTATAATGTTCTAGCTGCACAACTGATTTCTAATGATGGAACCACTGGCTGATACATTTTGTAAGCTGAACCCTTAACAACCAAAGTTAACAAAATACAAGTTGCTGTGTTCATGTACCATTTATGCCCAAATAGCAGTAGTACTTATATACCACCTCACAGTGCTTTACAGCCTGCTCTAAGCAATTTATAAAGTTGGTCTATTGCTGGATCCTCATTTTACTGATCTCGGAAGGATGGAAGGCTGAGTCAACCTTGAGCCATTGAGAATCGAACTGTTGAACTCCTGGCAGTTGGCAGTCAGCAGAATTAGCCTGCAGTACTGCATTTTAAGTGGTATTTTGTATTTTAATGTGTTCATGTAACATTCTATACCCAGATAAGTTGTATTTTGCATTTTAGCACTATGTGATGGCCTGATGAATATAATACTTGAGTCACTTCAGTGAGATGAGCAGCATATAAATTTAATAAATAAATAAAATGTACAAAACACATATCAACAACTGGATTCCCACGAGAACCACAAATGGCCCAACTGCAATTTAATTGACTCTAGTCCAGACATGTCAAACTCGCGACATCATATGACATCCCGCGACGTATTGGAATTTTTCTCCATTGCTGGCAATAGGGTGGGCATGGTTTCCTGGTGATGCATCCGGCCCACAGGCCGGCAGTTTGATACCCCTGCTCTAGTCCATAGTTATATCCACAAGGATGACCTAGAAACATTATCTTATCAATATTCACATTTTAAAAAAATAGATCAATTTATAAAGGTTATTTCTCACATTCTAGATTTTCATGGGCCCACCCCACATCTGATACTTAAATTTACTTATTTTCATTTTAATGTAGACGTCAACTCGTTCTCCTGCTTCCAAACATGCATAATTGATACAAGGTCTCACACTTGGGCTGCTTTTGTGTCTTTATCCAAATCAAGTTTATCCCTGAACGTAGATCACATTTATTTTTGTCATTGTGCTATATGACATAGATGGATGACAACGTCATATATCCAAATTGCTAAAAAATTGAATACTGCTGGATTTTTCTTTGTTATTTAGATTAAAAGGAATTCTAATAGTCTGGTGTATAAAACATTTTTCATCCCATTCCTTCCTTAAAAGAGTGAGTTTTAATGCTTGAAAATGAATACAAGCAGAGTTCATTTGAGTATGTAAAGTACTTTGAACAGATTATATATTAACCTCAGTCACACTGGCCACTTTTAAATATGGTGAATTAAAAAGTCAAAAGGCCCAAGAAGTTTCTGAACGGAAGGGGTGGGGGGGGGGGAAAGAGATACAATTACAGTAAAATTACATTTTCCATTTTGCTGAAAAGTTTCTAGCAAAATCTGCAGCTATAATATCAAAGATGTCTTGCTGTTTCCTATCAAACCTTCAAAGGAACTGTGCTACTTTTGAAACATACAATCTTCAGTTTGTGCCCAAGGTTTACTTTATTTATTTATAAATTAAAAATTAAATCGCAGCTGGTTTCTCATGACTCAGCAGGCTAGTACATATGACCATGACAGGAGAAAGCTGAGAAGGCAGAAAATCTTTTAAGCTCTTTCACATTATAAATGTATCAGATGAAAAAATGCAGCAATTTCCTGAGGCCTATTAATGGCACTAGCATACTCTTCCAAGAGAGCGCATTCAAGGTATTAAATGACCGCTCCAAGAAACAGGAACCAATTCAGTTAAAACCTATGAAGCCTTCTAGGAAGAAGCAGCCCATCTGATCCTATGAGCCCCCTCATCTGAAATATCCTCCTGTTTCTTGGACACTTTTTGGAAGGAAAAACATCCATTTCTTTCCGAGTTACATCATTTGAGCGGACAAACTATAGCAGTGATGGCAAACCTTTTAGAGACCGAGTGCCCAAACTGCAACCCAAAACCCACTTATGCATCGTCGAGTGCCGGGTGGGTGTGGCCCATTGGGTGGGCATGGCCAATTGGGTGGGCGTGGCTGCAGTGATAACGGCAGACTGGGTGGGACTAAAAAGTTCACAATTCAAACTTTGCAAGATCTTTTTTTTCCCACGAGAAGTTAAAATTGACTGATTGAACCTTTTTTTTTGGCACATGGCGGTGGAGGCCTAAAGCAAAAAGGTTTTATAAAACCCAGCTGAAGGCCTAGGACTGGGGCGATGGCGCGTGTGCCCACAGAGAGGGCTCTGAGTGGCGCCTCTGGCACCCATGCCATAGGTTCGCCACCACTGAACTATAGTGTTCCTGTTTGGTCATTTTAAATTTATGCTTTTGCTCAAAGACAAGCAGACAAGATCAATGTTTCATTGGTTAGCTTCCCATGAGGTATTGGGCAATGCACATAAAGGAACAGGTAGTGCTTTGATTGTATCATTGTGGCTGCTTTCTTGACTGTTTTGATCGCAGTCCATAGATACAGTACCTCTGCTTCTCTTGTTACAGTTTCCTTTGAAGGCTGACCAAATGCTGCTTCCTTCCGAAATATAACAGTGAAGTCCAGCAGAAATGTTTCAAACCTTGCTCAAACTAACTTACTTAGCTCTTGGCAGGACTGAGTAATCCTTCTGAACCAGTAGGGACTTTGGGATTTTGAGAAGATGTTGCTAGCACCATCACAAAACCAGTGATTTTAAGAAGCGGCGGCCATTGTCAATATTACTTGACTCGTCCCATGCCACACATTTAGTAGAAGGTAAATTGGTGAGTTACTCTCTGCTACTCCTAGGTGCTTAAGGATATCTTCTACTCATTATCCAAGCTTCACAGGCTTTTTTTCTGAGAAAGTAGAGACAATTTTCAACGTGAATTTTGTTTTTAAGAATAACTTGGCCACCCAAATTAAACTAGGACAAAGATCTTACTAGGTGTTAAAAAAAATATAAGCAGATACAGCAGGTACTACTGCCTACCCTGGCTTAGTTAAAACTCAGTTTGTTACAAGAATTGATCTTTGCAAATATAAGGGGCATTGACATGCACCATTGGCTGTTTAATATCTTTAAAATATTAAAGAAAACTTGAAATTATTTCATGACATCTAAGAAAGCACTATATTGTCTTGGAGGTTTTCATTCATTCATGGCTAACATCATCTAAATAACCAGCATGTTTTATTTTCTGGAACATCTTTTCCCAACCTTCCCACATGCACTGGACTACATCTTTCTTAACCAATTTGAGCAATACATTTGGAGAGAAAAGGTTGGGAAAGACACTTACAGAGGATGAGCAGCGTTATCATAGTGCAGGATTAATCAATCCTGGAAAACTTGAGAGAATAGCTTTAAAGATATTCATATTAATTAGGCAAATTTATGCATTTTGTATTATTTATGCATTTTGTATTACTTATTTTCCCTGAAAAGTTTATGAATTTGTCCCTTATTTCTGACTTAATACAAAATCCATCCAAGGACCAACTTTTCCTAGAAGTTGCAGGTTTTTTTTTTTTTAAAAAATCATAATTAAGAGAGCTATTTGATGCAGCATTACTTGTGATATCAGAATACTAATACAATTGCCGAAGGCTGCCTGAGGGATTAGCATTAATTAATTATTAATTCAGTTTCTAGGACTGCCCACTTGACACAACCATTTCT